TGGATACCCTCATTTACTCGATGCAACTGGACTATACATATACGGCTCCTTGTGTTTTTCTCAGACATGTTCTAGTGTACAGGACTTCCACAATACTACCAAACGCAAACCACGGTCGAGAAGTAGATCTGGCTCCACCCTGGCCCTACATAACTGTACATATCGACATGGATATACCACTTCCAGCTAGCTGCAGTTTAAGTAAGAACCTGTCATTGTAGCTACGTGTTAATCGGTATGAGACAAAATACTATCCCCTATGTATCGAGTTTTTCATCCGGTACTACCGTTAGGCAATCCACCAAAACGCTGGCAGCCACCGCGAAGCGTAATTCGTCTACGCCGGGGCTCGAACCTAGATTACGATATATTCCTAAAATTTGACGTACATGCGTTATCCACTAAGCTACGACGATGACGCGCGCCGTGAGCCAATAAGAAACCGTGTTTCTCTGTGGTTTACGTTTCCTTCATAGGCCATCCAGGCGTAATTTTTATGGCTTTAAGATGCGTGCCGATATATATAAGCATAAAATTCACCTGCTTGACAAATTCCTAAGTTGTTTTCCTGCTGTTTTTTTCAAAAGTGTTCTTAGGCAGCCTATATTTCGGCATCGGATGGCCGACCGGTATTCGGTTCATCCTGCAATTACGGAATTATCAAAATTTATAAAACACCTTTAAGTGTTTGTTTTAAACATTGAGGCTACACCGTACACAACAAAAATACGCCAAGCCGCTTTGATTTCGGCGGACGGCGAAACAGAGTGAAGATAAAAAGCGTGTTTTTTTTTTTTTTTGTCTTTACGATGAACATTTATAAATATCATTCACTTTACAATTAAACGGGGTCTATTAAGCACAGCGCTCTCGGATGGCATCGAGAAGTAAATAAATGTCAAAGAAATAAAAATAAAATCGGAAATCATTACTTATGTTCTAAGAAAATACTAGCCTAATATACATACATATACATACACATAGAATCATAATCCACTTGGTTAACTGTACCTGACAAAGTGCTACTTGTCCTTAATTTTGTGTCCTGAGTGCACTTGAGCAATTTTCCAACATGTGTTGGCCTCAAAATAGGGCCTTGAAAACAGGCGAATAAACACTCGTGTCTAGTAGCACGCAGAGCAATTTCTTGGTAATAATAGGAAATAGGAGCAATCAACTTTGTAAATACGAAGCATCAGGCTTGGCTGTTGTACCACAGGCAGTTATGAACATGGTAAAGTGGACATTGCCTTCGTTTCGGAACGGCTTCAAGTTAAATCGTTCGGAGTTAGTCATAATGTTTGCAGTGTTACTTCATTGTCTACGAGGAATTGAAAAGGTTTTTTTTTCTTTATTAGAAAGAGTATTCGTGTTTTTAGGAGTTCAAACCTGGAAGACTCGTTTGTATCACAAAACTATCACAGTAACGGAGTTGCTTATTCTGTGAGCTTTCATGCATGAAATATTCCAGACCACATCGGAACTTTTTAGTAGCAGTACGATTGCGTAAATATGCATTAAATCAAATTGCTTCTTTTGACGTTTAAGTTTAGAAAAATATTACTCAGCAGAAATATAATCAAAGGAAAATTATTAATTTCTTTTCATATAATAAGGAATAACAGCATTGTTTAACAGAATTTTAATTATAGTCACCTCTTCAACAGTCTACAAACATTTTTCACAATTGTGTACATTTCTAATCATACTGTGTCACTTTGCTACAACAAAATTCAACGTACTTCGACTATATATAGTCTTTATTTAAATCACTTGCACAAGAGTAGCGCTTCGATGTATTTTTGAGCTTTTTCTCTCAGATACTTTGCAAAAATGTTCTTTCAGCGATTACTTGTGGCCAAATGTCTGGCCGAAATGTCATTGTCCTAGATTATGTTGAATAAGAAGGTATTTTCATGGCCTTGGCAAAACACCTGAACGATCTTACCATTAGGAGTTTCAACTTAACGGTTTATAAGGTGTTTTTGCTTTTTTACTTCAACCTTTTTGGTAGTTTTTTTTTTAATCCGGTACTGCGTGAGTAAACCAAGCAATAAATTTTTATTTTTAGAGAAATTCATATTTCAAATGAACTCTTCAAGTTGCTTATCTTCAAAGGAACGTTAAACAACCTAGTACTTCATGATTTATTGTTGATCAGTTGTCTAAAATCGTTTTTTTAGATTTTATATTGTTTATTTTTCATAGTTTTGTTACAAATGCTATAAAGTAACGTTTGTTTTTTCAAAAAGAATAAAATTAGATTCAACATTTTTTGATTGACTATAGAAACAATTGTTTCAAAAAAGTGTATTCATAAGAATATAGGTTTGGACGCCCCTTTTGAACCTATCTCTGTCCTTTTAGCCAATGTACTGTTGAATGATAATATGCCCACGGTGGAGTGTTTTTGAAGCTTTTGAAAAAGATTTCTTCTATTCTGTCATAATTTTTTACTTGTTCATTAAAGAGCTCAAATGGCCTAACGCCTTTTTCTCTCATTCTCATTTGTATTTCTGTATTTTTATACGTTGGCAACGTAGATAATACAGCCCGGTCCTGTTTTAACAACGGAAAATGTTCTATTATAAAAGTTTAACTTCTACATGTGGCTTATGAAGTAGGGAAGTGCAATGGCGAATCCACATGGTGGAATAATTAGGTGGATATGGTCACGCAATGCTAACACGATTTTGTGCTGTCTTCGTGGTCGACATCTCTAACATATGGGTAGTCGTCGATATAATATGTAGATACAACACGCAAATATCACATTCAATATATACGAAGCCACGATCTGTACTTCCACGCCTGCTAATCTAACAAGCCTCGAGTTAACATATATTAGATTCCAGATATTTAACGTTATCGCAATGGCTCTATATATATATACATATATA